AGGTGGAACCTGATAGCTCAGAACAGGGCGAGGGCACAGACCCTGCATAGGCCTTGTAACAAATTCCCTGCTTTTGGGGCAGTGACCCTGGGTCCATGCCTGTGTCCGGCGAGCCCCGGAGTGCTCCCATATTGCCAGCCGCACTGAGCCTGGCCCTGCTGAGTGGGGAGCCTGGGGCAGCCTCGCGGTGCCTGGGTGGCCTGAGGTGCTCGGACCTCGCCTGGAGCCTGTGCAGAGGCTGGGTCTGGCCCAGGAGGCTGTATGTGCACGGCCCTGCAGGGATCCAGCGCCATGGAGCTGAGCGCCAGGGGGCCTTCCTCATGCCCTCCCAGGCCCCACGCTGGCCGACAGCCCCAGCCTGGCTCTGCCATGACTCCCAGGGAGCTGCCAGCCCTGGTGCTGTCTCTGGACTTGTGGGCTGTAGCTCTGGGCATCTGCCGGCCCCTCACCGTCCCCTGACTGGCAGGTCACCGTTTCCTTTCTGCAGGCGGTTAAAGCGAGCAGCCAAGATAAAGAGCCGGAGCCCAGGGCCGGGTGCAAGGTAACAGGGTAGGGCCAGGGCCACATCCTGGGGCCGAGTCTCCCCGGCAGGTCTGGGGCTGCCGAGTCTCTCTGGATGGGAGAAGCTGCCCCTGCCTGGGCCAATCTCTTCTGCCATCAGGGCTGGATTCTGGGCTGGGCCCTGGGAATCCAGCTGGAGCCATGAACTTCACCCTGGGATCAAAGGCTGCCCTGGGCAGAGGACTGAGCCCCTCGCTGCACGGCTCCTGCGGGGCCTTTGCATTTCAGTGGGTGAGGTTCATTCGGCCGTGGCTGGGATGTGAGGCCTGGTCGGGGTCTGACCCACCCCTGCATGGAGCTGGGGCTTCTGCTTGTGTTCTGTGTCCTCCACGAGAAATGGCTCTTTCTCCTTGGCCTGGCATTGCATAAGGTCCCCACGCCAGCCCCTCAAAGGGGGCTGTGCCCAGGTGGGGTCTGATCCGGTCCCTGTACTGGGAGCTGGGAGCACCGTGCCCACCACTGGCTGGCAAGGGCACCTCTCAGGGGGACACGCTGGGGATCCCTATGTGGGGGCCATTGCCACAGAGATGGGACTGTTGGTCTTTCCCCCCCGCCCCCCGGCCCCCAGCCCAGCAGTGGGTTCGGTGGCTGTCGGGGTCAGCCCAGGGCCCTGGAGCAGAGCTGTCTCTCCTGGAGGGGGAAGGAAGGGCTGGTGGACGCAGGCCATTTTCTGGAGAAAATGGCAGTGGGGCAGCTGGGCTGGCTGTGATTCCCCACCCCGGATATGCCTGCACCTAAGCCATGGGGCTGCGGGACTCGTGTGTGGTGGCAGGGCCTGGAGGCTGTAGTGGGAACTGCGCAACATGGTAGCATTTACTTTCAGAAAGGGGGACTACACAAAAATGAGGAGGTTAGTGAAACAGAAATGAAAAGGTCCAGCGCCAAAAGTGAAATCCCTGCAAGCTGCCTGGAAACTTTTTAAAGACACAATAATAGAGGCTCAACTTAAATATATACCCCAAATTAAAAAACATAGTAAGAGAACCCAAAAAGTGCTACAGTGGCTAAACAACAAAGTAAAGGAAGCAGTGAGAAGCCAAGAGGCATCCTTTAAACAATATAAGTTAAATCCTAGTGAGGAAAATAGAAAGGAGCATAACCACTGGCAAATGAAATGTAAAAATATAATTAGGAAGGCCAAAAAACAATTTGAAGAACAGCTAGTCAGACTCAAAAAGTAATAGCAAAAAAATGTGTAAGTACATCAGAAGCAGGAAGCCTGCTAAACAACCAGTGGGGCCACTGGACGAGATAGAGATGCTAAAGGAGCAGTCAAGGAAGATAAGGCCATTGCCGAGAAACTAAATTAATTCTTTCCATTGGTCTTCACGGCTGAGGATGTGAGGGAGATTCCCAAACCTGAGCCATTCTTTTTAGGTGACAAATCTGAGGAATTGTCCCAGATTGAGGTATCATTAGAGGAGGTTCTGGAACAAATTGATAAACAAAATAATAATAAGTCACCAAGACCAGTTGGTATCACCCAAGAGTTCTGAAGGAACTCAAATGTGAAATTGGAGAACTACTAAGTGTCATTTGTAACCTATCATTTAAATCAACTTCTGTACCAAATGACTGGAGGATAGCTAATGTGACACCAATTTTAAAAAGGGCTCCAGAGATGATCCCAGCAATAACAGGCCACTAAGCCTGACTTCAGTACTGGGCAAACTGGTTGAAACTATAGTAAAGAACATAGATGAACATAACTTGTTGTGGAAGAGTCAACATGGCTTTTGTAAAGGGAAATCATGCCTCACCAATCTACTAGAATTCTTTGAGGGGGTCAACAAGCATGTGGACAAGGGGGATCCAGTGGATATAGTGTACTTAGAATTTCAGAAAGCCTTGACAAGGTCTCTCACCAAAGGCTCTTAAGCAAAGTAAGCTGTCATGGGGGAAGAGGGAAGGTTCTCTCATGGATCAGTAACTGGTTAAAAGATAGAAAACAAAGGGTAGGAATAAATGGTCAGTTTTCAGAATGGAGAGCGGTAAATAGTGGTGTCCC